CGAGCGGAGGAGCGCAGCAGCGATGAGGAGCAGCAGCAGCAGCAGGCTGATTGTTTGGTGCTGGAGGACAGCGGCGATAGTGACTGAGGAGCGTGGGCCACGTGCGTGGCAAGGCAGCAGAATCCAGCATAATCATCCTCCTCCTCCTCCCTCCTCCTCTACCTCCTCCATCCTCCACGTCCATCCTCCTCCATCCTCCTCCATCCTCCTGCACCCTCCTCCATCCTCCTCCTCCTCCTCCCCATCCATCCATCCTCCTCCATCCTCCTCCATCCTCCTCCATCCTCCTCCTCCTCCTCCTCCTCCTCTCCTCCTCCTCCTCCTCCCTCCTCCTCCTCCTCCTCCTCCTCCCTCCTCCCTCCTCCTCCTCCTCCTCTTCCTCCCTCCACCCCTCCCCTCCTCCTCCTCCTCCTCCTCCCCTCCTCCCTCCTCCTCCTCCTCCTCCTCCTCCTCCTCCTCCTCCTCCTCCTCCTCCTCCTCCTCCTCCTCCTCCTCCCTCCTCCTCCTCCTCCTCCTCCTCCTCCTCCTCCCCCTCCTCCTCTTCCTCCCCCTCCTCCTCTTCCTTTGCGCCAGAGGCGAGCACTGGCGCAACGCCCTGGCCTGCGTTTACGCCCACCAAAGAAGAGTCCAAGAATACAGTAGGGGCGCGCACCAAGAAACCATTTGCCTTTCGTCAGGGTGCCCTGGGTTTCTTCGCGCCGCGCGATGCGCGTTGGCTTCCCGCGGCCGTCGGAGAGGCTGCTGCGTTCAGAGTGCCCTGGGTTTCTCCTCGGGTGCGCCTCGAGCGCGGGTTTTCAGGGTTGGGTTCCTTGCGAGGGTTTCTTGCGGCCTCGCCCGCACTGCATTGTCGTTTGCGCGCCCCGCTCTCACAGCATGTCTGGCAGAGGCTGTCTGGTCTTCACGCCTCGTGCTGGCGTTCGGAGAGCCGTGCGTTTGCTAAATAATCATTTTACTCCAGGAGCGTTTCGTGGTAGGCCTACAGGAATGCCGGGACGGTCGGTCCCCGCTCCACGGAAGGCGGAGCGCAGGTTCTCATCGGCAACACCCCAACATACTTATACTATATGTGCGTCGCCCCCCCAGGGGCGACGCGCGCACCGAGAAATCTTATAGTATATGCGTCGTGGCGTGCGCTTTCTGGCCACACCGCTCGGGAAACGATATACTACAAGATGGGTATACTACATATTCGGGTCGGACGCGCGCCTCCAAGGAGGACATATAGTATTAGTATGTCCATGTGCGTCCCATCTCACGCGTGCTCTGCTGCGCGGGGGGCTCCCAGGCTCCAGGTGCCTCCGCTGGGAGGGCTTCCGTGGACCTCCGGGGCAGAGCATCCTGGTGGGGCAGGGGCAGATGGCACGTCGAGTAGGACTGTCCAGGGTCGGGATTGCCAAACACACGTTGTACACCACCTGTCCAGCCCCGCCGCCCCGGCCAAAAGCCAGGGGGGAGGGGGGGGGGAAACGCCGAGCGAGGGCAAGGACGCCCGACGATCAGGGGGGATACCCCGGAGGGGGGAGAAGGACTTTTCAGGGGTTCCTGTGAGCGGGGTGGCTGGCTTGACCCGCGGGCTGAGGGGGAGGGGGAGGGACAAGCAGCACAGATAGCAGCGGGAGCACGAACGGCTGGAGCCGCAGCCATCTACCCCGCTGACCCCGCTGACCGGAGCCCCGACAAAAACCATATTCCGAGTTTCTTAATGAGCGTCGGGGGGGCGTCACCACCGCCGACAGCCCCACATCGACCCCCGTCGCGGGCAGCCACCGCGCCGAAGGCGCTCCGACCCCCGTCGCGGCGTGACGGTGATGATGATGATGATGATGATGATGATGATGATGATGATGATGATGATGATGATGATGATGATGATGATGATGATGATGATGATGATGATGATGATGATGATGATGATGATGATGATGATGATGATGATGATGATGATGATGATGATGATGATGATGATGGGGTCGGACGATCGGCGCCGCGGCGCATGCATCGGCGGTGCCGCGCGCTTTGGGGCATAATTTGGTTCCGTCCCGACGTCGGCGGCCGCTGCATCGCCAGAGCACCGGCGATGCATCGGCGACCTCGGGGCCCAGTCTTGGCGGCGCGCAGGTGAGGGTAGGGAGGGGGGGGGGGGGGAAGGCTTCTTGGAAGGGGCTGCTTCTCAGAAGGCGCGGGCCTCACATCTGAGACACGGCCCGCGCCTTCTAAGAAGCAGGGGGTTTCTAAGAAGCCTTCCCCCCTCCCCCTGCCCACCCCGAGACATGAGACGTCCTGATTTTGTTCAGGACGGCGTCCCCGGAAGTCCAGACCCTTTCCCCAGGGCCGGCTCTTCGTCCTGAGTCGTTCTTTGACGGTGCCCGGGCCTGGCGAGGGCCTCTAGGTGGGAGGAGGAGGAGGGGAGGAGAGGAGGAGGAGGAGGAGGAGGAGGAGGAGGCCGAAAATGGCGAAAAACCTCCCGTCCTGATTTTTGTTTGCGACGCTGTCCTGTCCGGGTTCCCCCTCTCGCCCCGCCACGCCGCCGCCGCGCCGCCTGTGGGGGCAGCGGCTGCGGCGGGCCGCCCCGCCGCCCCCCTCCCGGGCACCTCCCCTCCTCCTCCTCCTCCTCCTCCTCCTCCTCCTCATCCATCCTTCTCCTCCTCCTCCTCCTCCTCCTCCTCCTCCTCCTCCTCCTCCTCCTCCTCCTCCTCCTCCCTCCTCCTCCCTCCCTCCTCCTCCTCCTCCTCCTCCTCCTCCTCTCCTCCTCCTCCTCCTCCTCCTCCTCCTCCTCCTCCTCCTCCTCCTCCTCCTCCCCCCTCCTCCTCCCTCCGCCTCCTCCTCCTACTCCTCCTCCTCCTCCTCTCCTCCTCCTCCTCCTCCTCCTCCTCCTCCTCCTCCTCCTCCCTCCTCCTCCTCCTCCCTCCTCCTCCTCCCTCCTCCTCCTCCTCCTCCTTCTCCTCCTCCCCCCTCCTCCCTCCTCCCTCTCCCTCCTCCTCCCTCCTCCTCCTCTCTCCTCCTCCTCCTCTCTCCTCATCATCATCATCATCATCATCATCATCAGCATCAGCATCAGCATCACATCAGCATCAGCAGCATCAGCATCAGCATCAGCATCATCATCATCATCATCATCATCATCATCATCATCATCATCATCATCATCATCATCATCATCATCATCATCCTTCTCCTTTTTTAAACGACGCGATCCCTCTGCGCGTGGCCAACGGTCGGGCGGCCCCAGGGCCCCAGAAGCCACGACTCTGCGCCGGATCCAGCGCGACAAAGCCACGAGTGGAGAGTGCTTCGGCCCATGGCCACAGTTCTCTCGTACGTGCCAGTGTCCTGGTTTTTCTCCTCCTCCTCCTCCTCCTCCTCCTCCTCCTCCTCCTCCTCCTACTCGTCCTCCTCCTCGTCCTCATCCCTCAGTCTCATCCCTCCTCAGCCTCCTCGTCCTCGTCCTCATCCCTCCTCAGCCTCCTCCTCCTCCTCCTCCTCCTCCTCCTCCTCCTCCTCCCACGTGCGTGCCAATGTCCTGGTTTACCCCTGGGCCCTAATCCACAGAGGCGGCTCAGCATGGGGTCGTACAGCGCCGCAGGACTGAGACGCCAGTGCGGTCGAGGGAGATGCTCCACTGCACTCGCCTTCCAGCTCTGGTGGCCGTTTACCTCCACCTCCACACTCTCTGGAGTGGATCGAGGAGAGCAGCGGGTCCCGCCGCCTGAGGAGAGCCCAGGTTTGAGGGGCGTCTGGGGGACGACTTGGGCAGCCGTCGTGGGGTGATCTCTGGGGCCTCTTGGGCGTCGTGGGCGCCCTGACTTGGAGCCGTCTGGGGGTCTGCGGCGACCTCTGGACCGTCAAAATCGGATCCGGGCTGAAAAGCCTGCACCAGGCTAATGTTGCTCCCATCGTACGTGAGGACCACATCCCAGAAATGATTTCGAGCACCTGGAAAAGTATCGAAAGAGTGTCGAGACAGTGTCGAAACAGTGTCGGACGAGTGCCTCCCAGGGCCCGACACGTGAAAACCTTCGAGTTTCGGTATTTTTATGTTGCTCGAAATTATTTCTGGTGATCAAGTCTAAAGTAGGTTGGAACATCATAGCACCAGATGGACCCCGGGAGGGGTCCTAGGACCGATGTCGAGCGGATTTGGCTTCATCTCCCCCTCCCGACCGATGTTCTGGGATCCCAGCCGGCTCAGCCCCTTCAGCCGCCTCCGAGCTCTGGCATGCGAGAGGGCGGAACTGAGGTTAAGTCGGGCCTGTCCCTCTGCAGGGGGGAACCTTCAAGAACACATCGCACACAGGTATAATGATGTTGTGAGCATTTCCAAGCATCCGATGATACATAGTATAATGTTCAGTCATACACCCAAGGAGGAATGAACGCGGCATGCTAACATCAAAGAAATGTACATGGCTATACTGTTGGAAACGCAGACCATTGGAATAGCACATTGCATCGTGCTTTCGATTGTAAACAGGTACATCGTACCAACATGCTGGTTCATATGTGCTTCCGCGCAGCAGCCTTAAAGCTTCCAGAAGATTGAAGGAGTTATATATTGACACAGTCACGTTAATGCAGCATCTTGATTCGTCGAAACTCAGACCCAAATTAATACGCCATGTGTTGAACAGGTCGGGCGAGACGGGAGAGTGAGAAAGAGAGAGAGAGAGAGAGAGCGAGATGCGAGGGAGGGAGGGAGGGCAGGGAGTAAACATGGCTGATGTTCGATTGGGCAGCACTGCAACAAACTCAGGACGCAGGTGGCGTGGTAGACCTTTCGCACGGCCGCACGCATTCGACTCTCCAACCTGTGACCACATCATACATGTTCAGGGTTGCAGACTTCACTGCTTGCTTGTCACGGTTGGCCCGCTACGTTTCTATGTGTGTTCAGACGTGTTCGCTTGCGCATACCGTGCCCGAATTCGGTCCAGGTTGCAGCCATTGAAGTCAAGATTTTGTGCATGTGCGCGTGATCATCATTTGTCGACATCATCCCAGCCATGCCGACGTTCGTCAAGCTCTTCCACACCACAGCCAATTATGGCAAAGTTATACCAGTGCCGACACGCTCGAATGATCCGGACATTGGTGTGCCGGCATTGTGGGCCATGGTGGTTCCGCACGGTGATAGGTCGATGCGGAAAGGCAAGGGGAAAGGTACGAAGGCGTCCCTGTCTGAACCTTGTTGCAAGCATCACCTTCGCACAGTGTCTCTTCCGCAGGCGCAGTTTATTGATTGGGCTGGCGAAGACAGAGAATCTGAGTGGAGCCTTTTCTTCGTTGGCGAGCGGCCTGGCGACAACAGTTAGCACACGTTTTTCAAATACGTGTTGTTTTGCACCTCTGACGGCAGCTCTCCGTTGAAGACTTGCAAAGATTGGAAGAAATACCGAGAGGCATTCTCGGGGGTGAAATCACGGGAGCTGTTCAGGAATTTGGGACAGTTGTGGGACGAGTGGGACTTTGGCAGTGGCAAGTTTGGCAAGACCAACCATTTCCACATTGGAATATTGGGCACCACCGCCTTCAGCCAGTACATGGAAGAGAACGAGGTGGAGTGGCGGCAATTACGGCCCGACTTGCCAACAATACATGGCCAGAACGATGGCGAGGGCGAAGGTCATTCGGAGTCTGAGTCTCTGACGGAAAGCGAGATCTTCCGGCACTTTGCCTTCGAGAACGATGAAAATGACGAAGGGGGCAGCGCTTGGTCCAACGTGAAGCCCAAGCACAAGGCGTTGGACGGGTGCTTGCCATTCTGTTTCGAGGCAAGTCGGAACATTTTCCCCGACTACGATGGCGTGTTCCGCCATTATTGCCGTGCGGAGGCCGTGTGGCAATGCCGCCGCAAGACTTGCACACGAAACCCCACAGCCGGCGCTGCCACAGCGCATTCGCGCAACAAGAAAGATCAAGACGAGGATGCGGGCGACAATGAGCCGCGCACGTCGTGGCGCAGTGCTTGCTGCTGGTACCACGAGCATCTCAAGCACAAGGAGACACAGGGGTTGCGCAAGGGCTTCGAGCGGTAGTATTGCGGCGAGTGCTGGAAGAACAGCCGCGACTGGGTGGAGGGTCAGATCTGTAAGTTTTTCAAGCCCGGCACTTTCGCCTTGGACGACGAGGGTGGTAGCAAGCGTGGGTATCACAACCCAGAGATCTGCGAGGTCTGTCAGCGCCTCAAGGACAAAGGCTTCGACGATAGTTGCAAGAAGTTCAGCTTGTACCTAGCCAAGGGCAAGGTGAAGGTGGAACCCGGTGCGACGGGCTGGGCCTGGGCCTAGAGCTTCAGGCGTGCCCCTTAGGATGGCGGTGCGAAGGCGCCCCCCGATAGAGATATCGCCTTCGACGGTGTATCGACCCGTTTGTGGTCGTAGGTATGGTGGCAATGGCAGTGCAAGTGGTAGCGCGAGTGGTAGTGCGCGGGGAAATGGTAATGCAAGTTCTAGCGGTTGTGCTAGTGGTAGTGCTAGTGGTCGATCGTGTGACAGTGATTTTAGTTTTGCTAGTGGTGGTGCTGGTCGCAGTATCTTGTTATGATCACATTGATTAGTAGTAAGTCGTACGCAGTGATAGCAAGTAACAAGCCACAGCTAATCCATATCATGTGGTTTCGTAATGTGTAGTACTTTGCTGCGGTGGTTGTGATAGTATTTGCTTGGTCGTGGTGGTAGTACTTGTAGTATGGGTTTGATAGTGGTCGTGGCAGTGATCGTGGTCGCGGTCGTGGCCGTGGTAGCAGAAGCAGCAGCAGCAGTTGCAGCAGCAGCACCAGTACCTCTCACAACAGGAGCAGCAGACGGAGTCGACATGAGCGTGTGAGCTCTTCGGCCTTATGGCTATGCACAAGTGCTATCTTGCTCTTAGTTGGACAGCACACAGCACAATACGTCATGGCAATGGTCGTGATGATGCCAAATCAAGTGTTGTTATGTGCGTGTTGCTGTTCATGCCAATGAGTAGGTTGACTGTTTATGTGGATGGGTATGCTAATGTCAATTTGAATGTGTATTGATGTTATCTTGTGGTTGACGATAACGACGGTGATGATGACGACGACGGTGATGATTATGAAGATGATGGCGGCGTGTGTTGTGCGTGTTTGTTGGCATGCTTTGGCCATGAAGGGCGTGTTGGACGCCTTCACGGCCTTTGAGGCTATGATCAACTGCAGTCTCTGTTCGGCGTTGCTCGGCGGTCGCGGCAAAATGCGTTATCATCAAGTGCGTTCGGTAGAGGCTCAAGACACCTCACGTGGAAGCTGGCATTCGTAGTGTGCTGCTTGCTTGTGTGGCTTGTGGCGGCAGCCGCAGTGGCAGACGTGCGACAGCATTACGCCACCCCACAGTTGATATCATTGATCTCATTGTTATTGATATTTTTGCTATTGTGGTTACGAGCGTCAGCATGCTTGTTCATGCCAGTGTTATTGTTATGCTTGTTGGTATTGTCATTGTTATTGTAAGTGTTATTGCCATGATTGCCATCACCGCAATCGTTGTCTGAGTTATTGATATGGCTATTTATATTGGTGTTGTTACCGGCATTGGTTTTGTTATTCCTAGCGTCATCGTCATTGATTTTTGTGGTTGGCATTGTTAGCGATATATTTGTTATTGTGGTCGTTATCGTTATGGCTGTTATCATTGCTAGTCGTTCGTGTTTGCCACTGTTATGTTTATCTTGATTGATATGGGCATTGGCAAAGTTGTTGTTGTTAGTGTTGTTTGCTTGCGTTAGCATTGTTATTGAATCACATGCTATTGTTGGTGTTGCCGTTTCCACTGGTATCGCCATTGCTTCGTTGCTTTACCGTTATTTCTGAGAGTTGCCGTTATTGTGAGTATGTGTTACTTGTGTCTGGTTTAAGTTCAATGTTCAATGGTCTCTGGATTGCCAGTGTTTATCGTTGTTCTGACCTTGAATCCGATTTGGTGGGTCGTTCCAGGAATTGCCACCCGTATCATATTCAAGAGGGAAACGACTTCCCAACCAAAAAAAGGGCTGCCCAACAAATAATGGACACTGCAACCCAACGCAAACACCACTACCAACACAAGCAGAAAGGGCAGCAAAAAACAAACATCAGCAAAAACGCATACCTTTTCATGATCATGTTTCTTTGTTGGATACACACACACATACATACATACATACATACATGCATGCATGCATACATACATACATACATACATATCTACATACATACATACATACATACATACATACATACATACATACATACATACATACATACACACACATACATACATACATACATACATGCATACATACATACATACATAGATACATTCATACATACATTCATTCATATATACATACATACATAGCTACATACATACATACATACATACATACATACATACATACATACATACATACATACATACATACATACATACATACATACATACATACATACATACATACATACATACATACATGCATGCATGCATGCATGTATGCATACATACACATACATACATACATACATACATATATATATATATATATATATATATATATATATATATATATACACGTGGGGGGGGGGGGGGCAGGCCTGGGGCCCACAAACAGGACTGGGCGGCCAGGGAGGTCCAAAATAGTCCAGGAGGGCCTCCAGAGGCTCCCCAGACGGCCCAGGCGGGCCCCGAGTCGCCGAATGACCGCTTCTGGACGCCCAAGGTAGGCCCAAAACGGCCCGAGAAGGCCCCCCCCAAGGCACTCCACGACGCTTCAAGACGCCTCTCCCGAACGCTTCAAGAGACCAACATCGTCAATTTTACGAAGGTTTTGGAGAGATTTTGGCCTTCCAGCCTTTTCGGCTGTCGGACGTTCCAGGCCAGCTCCATAGGCCCCCAAGAGCGCTCCAAGCTAGCCCAAGAGGGCCCCCAGACGGCCCCAGAGGCGCCCAAGAGAGCCCCAAGACGTCCCTAAGATGCGCCCAAGAGGGGGACCACGACTCCCACATTCGACCCTCCCGGTTGAAGAGTGCCCCAAGAGGCCCCAAGGAGCCCCCCAGAGGCCCCAGGAGGCCCCCGAGAGGCACCCAGGAGACCCAAACATGGCTTCAAGAGGCCACACAACAGCCCCGAGGAGGTCCTACAACGGTCTCAAAATGGCTACCGAGAAGCTGCGAAACTGCCTTCACGACGTCCCGACAGGCCAACCACGATATCCAAACCAACACCCATGTGGCCTTTGACCCACCACCTAGAGCACCCGCCGCCCGCCCGCCGTCCGCGTAGCACGCACCACTCTGTACTCAACAGCTTCAGTCTCCAAGACAGCACCCTGTAGTCAACAGCCCCCGTCTTCAAGGCAACACCCTGTACTCAACAAGCTCCCGCTGCAAGAGAGCACCCTTGAGGAATTCATTAAAATCCCGACCCGCCCGCCCGCCCGCCACCCACCCGCCCGCCCGCCGCCCGCCGGGCCGCTCGCCCGCCTTCTGCGTAGCACGCGCCACCCTGCACTCAACAGCTTCCGCCTCCAAGACAACAGCTAGCATTCAACAGCCCCCAGGGCTCCCAGGACTGCCCGGGCCCGCTCCCAAACACGCCACAACACGCCAAGAGGGAGACAGCCCCAAGAGGCCCCGGACACGCCGAAGATGGCCTGAGGACGGCCGACGACGCCGCCAAAACGCCCCAAGAGCGCCTCCAGAGGCCCCTCCAAAGGGCCCCGCATTGTTGCGCTCTCGCATGTTCCGCCTCCCCACTGTCCCCGACGCCGTCAGAGGCCCTTCAGATCGCTCCAAGACGGCCGAAGAGGCTCCCAAGGAAAGACCAGAGACGGCCCAGGAGGTCCCCCAAATGATTCAAGAGGGCCTCGAGAGCGCCCCAAGAGAGCCCCAAGAGCGACCCAAGAGGGCCCGAAGAGCGCGACATTTCAAGGTCTCCGCCCTGAGAGGGTCCTAGGACGCTCCCGGAGGCCATCAAGAGGCTCTCAAGAAGCCCCGTGAGGCTCCCAAGAGGCCCCCCGGAAGCCCCAATGAGCCCCCAAGGGCCCCCCAGGGAAGCCCCCTGCGGGCCCCCAAGAGACCTCGGTAAATCGCATTTCCCAGAGCTTTCCAGGAACATGATTCCTTGGGCTTTCGCCCACCGCCCCAACCATGTTTCCAGTAGGCTTGCCGACAAGGCCAAAAAGGGCCCCTCGGTAACAGAGCCGAACAAATCATGCTCCCGGAAAGCTTCCCGGGAACATGATTCTCGGGCTGCCGCCCTCTCCCCAAACCATGTTTATAAACGCCTGCCAGGATAAAACAAAAACGAGAGTCCCAAGCAGCGCTACCTGCCGCCACGCTCGGAAACGCGTCAGGCCCCGAAGCCTCCAGAGGCGCCCAACGACACCCCAACAAATCATGTTCCCAGGAAGTCTTACGGCCAGTGCCGCCGACGTTGAAGGATGATGGTCCAGGACACCCAGACATCTTCCAAACAGGCTTCCAAGAGGGCGCCAAGACAGCCTGGGGCTGCCCCCAGACGGCCCAAGAAGGCCCAAACACAGACGAAAGGGCCGCAAGTATCCCCCGAGAGGCCCCGAACCGAGGACATATCGCTCGAACACGCCCAAGATGGCCTCCGGACGGCCCACGAGGCTTCCAACACGGCCCAAAGGGACGCCAAAATCATGGATCGTCTTTGGGTTTTGGATGGATTTCGGACACCCGAAGGATTGCAAAAAAAACCTTGGGTTGCAAAAAAAACTCTGGATTTCGGACACCCGAAGGATTGCAATCTTTTTTTTGCAATCCTGTTTTTTTGCAATCCTTTTTTGCTATCCTTTTTTTTGCAATCCTTCGGGTTTTTGTTTGCAATCCTGTCGCCCCAACAGGCCCCCACGAGGGCGCCGAGACGGCCCAGGGACGCCCTGCCGCGGGCACGAGGCGAGGCCCCGGACGGGGCCCTCGCGCTGGGGGCCCCGGGGGCCCTGCCGTGGCGTTGGGGGCCTTGTAAACCCAGACCTCCTCGAGTCATGAAAAAAACACGACGGGAGGTTTTTCGCT